ACTGCTTGCGCTTATTGTTATTACTTCACTAGAAAATGTCACCATTGGTAAATGGTCACTGACAAATGTATAGAATACCTTTCCTTTATTTCTTTTATTTTTTTAAAGTAATTTTAAAAGTTTAAATAGAAGTGTTAGGCATTGAAAAGAATTTTTGAATGGTAAAGAAATGTATAATTAAATTTTACCAACGACATGTACTCCTGCTATTTTTCTAGAACTTTGATAAAGACCTTCATGACATCATAGTGTATATTGTTTTGCACCATCTAAGACTGAACATATTTAAATCAATTACATATTTATAATTAGACTAATTATACAATTAGACAAATATCAATTGAAAATTTCTTTTTACAAATCATAGAAATTCACATGCAAAAAGCCTTCCAACATCACGGATGATTAAATTTATATGATTAACAAAATAAAATTAATTTTATGTTGTAAAACTGTTATAAAAGCAGTAAATTCTAAATCACTGTGAATAAATATACCCACACATGCCATTTGCTATAATAGCTTCGGGAGCTGTTTATTGGGAGGAAAAGGGTCAGCTTGAATGTTTTCAATCATTTTCTGAATGTGATAAATTAAGTGGGTAAGGCTTGAATTCTTCCATAACTCTGCCTATTTTCTGTATTCTTTCAATATACTGTGTCTCTGTTAGCCCCTCTGCCTCTTTGAAGGCTACACAGATTAATCTTAGATATTAACCTTGTTGACTATACTGTAGGTTCCACATCTTGGTATCTTTTTTTCTGATTACAAAATGTAAATCATCTTAGCTCACCCAAAACAACTCTCCTATCCTGTGCTAGCTGAACCACTGGGAAATTGTGTATTTAGACTTCACAGTAAAGTTATTCTTTCCTTTTGTCTGTGCTTTTCATGTGCAAATTTTGTTGCACTGTTCTGAGTGAGAATAAGCTAGGATATGGTGGGTGCAAACCATTATATTTTTTGGGCCGTAGTTTTTGGTGTTTACAAAGTATGGGAATCATCACAAAAAGTAAGGTGAATTCTCTAAACCTTAAAATCTCAATATTATTACTTAATTTACATTCTTTACTTTTGGATAGCATAAACTCCCGCCACATTTCTGACCACCTGCTCAGATATTTGGCAGATACCTGTACATGGATGCTGAATGAAACCATTATAATGGGTCAGATACCACTAGAAGTGTATCAGTAGAGGATTGCTGGCTAACATTTTTACAATGGATAAAAAAATGAAATAAAAAACAACAAAAAAGTAACTAAAAGTTATATTTATAATTAGTTATTTTCAAACAAGGGCCTGTAAAGTAGTAAGATAATCTAATTGCTAGAAATAAGTAAAGAAGTAAAATGGCACAAAAAAGATTTATTGAATTTTAACAAACATTAGTAGGTATAGTTTCAGTAGAGTGTTGAAATAGTATCCAGAAAATGTAGATTAAAAATAATTTATCAGTGGAAACAGAAATAAGAAATATTGGCAGAATGTAATTAACTTTATGTAAATAGAGACCATCTATTAAATCTAAATCTAAATGACTTTATTTTTAATATATTTAAGTATCATTATTACTGTATCATTACTTTTAAAATATTGACTTTATTAATCTCTATTGCATTTGTATCAGGTGCCCAATAGATAGTAAGTTCCAGAGAAATATGTATAAAGAGCCCTGAGTGGTAAAAGAGGTAGTTATAGTACTTTCAATTGAAAAAGTATTCATTTAAAAAGTCTCTCTCCTGTATTAAGTCTTGCTCTAGGTGCTTTGTACCTAATGCCAAGAGCAAGAAATACATGGTGCCTACCCTTCATATACTTACGTGCAAGGGGAGAAGTCGACAGAAAATAAATCCGCTACTGAAATAAATGGAAAAATGAGAACATGTTTTAAAGGGACAGCAGATCTCAAGAAAAGTATTCCTTTTCCAGAAAGTGAGGAAATGCTTATCTGTGGAAGTAAGGAATATTGGGAGCTAAGAATGAGATGAAATGGATTAAGCATAGAGCAACAAAGAGCTACACATGTACAAAGGGTCTGTGGCAGAAGGAAGCAACATATGTGCAAGGCAGTAAAAGGGTGAGTTAATTTAACAGCAGCACTCTTTACAATAGCCAAGATTTGGAAATAGCCTAAGCACCCATCGGTAGATGAATGGATAAAAAAGCTGTGGTATGTTTACACAATGGAATACTACTCAGCAGTATAAAAGAACAAACTGATAGTAACCAGAAGGCAGGAGGAAGGGGGATAATGGAGAAAGAGGGGAAAAGCCATCAAGGAACATGTATAAAAGGTAGGTGGGTAGGATTGAGGGTGCAATGGTGGAAAATGGTGATGGGAAAATGGAGATGATTATACTCGAACAACAATAAAAAAAATCATTTTAAAAAAGAAGAAGAAATGCTTACATTTGCAACAGCCTGGGTGGATCTAGAAAATATTATACTAAATGAATTAAGCCATTCAGTAAAAAACTAATACCACATCATTTCACATATATTTGGAATCTAATGAACGCAATAAACTAACAAAAAAAGTAGTAACAGAAGCTTAGATCCATGAAACAGACTGACAGCTGCCAGAAAGGAGGGGGTGGAGACAGGATGAAAGATGGTAAATGGATTAACCAAAGAACACTTATGCACAACCTGTGGTCATGGACAACAGTATGGGGATTGACATGGGGAGGGGCAGGATAGACGTGGGGAAAGGGAGTCACAGTGGGAACAAAGGTAATAGTATAAACAATAAAAATAAATTTTTAAAGAAATAAAACTTTGAAAAAAGAATGAGGTGGGACTGGGGAGGAAAGGAGAATGCAAATCATGAGCTGAAAGCCATGTTAGTAGCTGTTGCCTCTATTTTTAAGAGCAATCATAAGCCATGTTGTTTAAGACTAATGGCACAGTGAGATTTGCATATTATCCTCTTGGTTGCAGATTAGGTCTTTCTATTGGCTTGCATTCTTAAACTATACCTAACAATTCAGCTACATGTAGGGTTTAGAACTAAGATTACACTTTAAAGTACATAGAAAGAATGGTTGAGATCAAACATACTTAAAGGTCAATAAAAGGACCTGAGAGTGAGATACAGAAGATACAAATAAGAAGTAGTAATTGAAAGTCTGAGATTCCTGTTATCAAAGAAAAAAAGTAGATCTAGAGAATTAGTCTCGAAGTTCAATTTAGAATATGTTGAGTTTTAGGTGTCTGTGAGACCGCAGAATGAACACATCGAAGAGAAAATTTGGTCTATGCAAATCCTGGAAGAGGGATAGAGACTTGGTGTCCTCGCGGAGGGAATAGGGCTTGTGGCAGAAATTCATCAGCAAGGCTAAGACCACCTAGGAGAATTTTATAGCCAGATTAACTATGAAAGAAATAGAATTTCAGGAAATACCAACAGTTGAGTGTTGAGAGAAGAAAGGAAAGTAAAAAACTATATAAGCAGTAACAGTCACAGAGGTAGAAGTAGGATTCATCACCTCATTAAATATTGTCTGAGTCAACTGGTTCTAGTATAACATTTTCTCTCAACTATGCTTTCCAACTAAGCATACTGTTCTAGGCATTCTATCTAGTTAATGTAAATGATAGCTCTGCAATACACCGAGAACTTGTTTCACATATAAGTTTCAGAAGCACAAACACTGACTCTGTGTATATTTGTGTGGTGTGTATTTGTACGTGTTTGTAGAAAAAGAAACATTGTTGCTTATACCACAGAGGAAAATGCTAAAGATGTGACTGAGTTAAGAATGAACTTTGACAGTGAGTGAAAGGAATTATGGGCAAATGCACACTGAAGGAGAGATTCATTTGACATATTTGGAAACCTCTGTGTGCCTGCCTATGTGTGAGCAAGTTTTTTTTTGTTTCTTTGTTTTTTGTTTTGTTTTGTTTTGCAAATGAACAGGCAGGGCCTTTGTGTATTGTCCCACTAAATGTTCTGATCCTTTTGAAGAATCTGTGCAAATGTTGCAATTTTTAAGATTTAAGTGATGTTACTGAAGTAAACTAAAATAAACACATGGTTTTATACACATTTTATCTGGAAACAAATTCACATTTTGAAAATTGCTCTAACATCTTCATAATTAAGTTATTTATAAAGGATCTGTTTGGAAGAGATACATAGACTTTGGAAGGTAAAGAATTCCAGGAAACCTGGAATATGAGTAGACCCTTCATCCCTAGTATGAATAGGGCAGGAAGATTATTTTTCCTTTTTTTTTGGTGTTCATCATTTACTCTTTTTAAACTTTGAATGTTAGTGTTTTTCTTTTTACACTGTTTCCTGCCTAATCAAGAGTTTGTATGCTATTTCTGGCCACTTACTTTATTTCAGTCTATCTGCCATTTTGCAGATTTACCTGGGACACCTAGACCTTGAACTCTTGAATGCAAAATAACAACAATAATATAGAGACATTCAGGACTACTTCTTTATGCAGTTTTATATCTATCATCTCTCACTGCTCCATATTCACCAATTATTTCTGTATAAAAATTTAAATTATCTATCATTAGATTGACTTCATTAGCTTTGTTCTACCAACACAGTTTCATTTATTGGCTCTTCTTCAGAATCCTTATCTTTCATAGCATTTCATGTTGAAGTCTGCATAGATTGCAATGTTTGTTGAATAAATTTCATTATTAAGTACACTGTGCTGATCTTTGCATAATAATTTGCACAACCACCACCAAAAATAGATCCACCCCCAGGAAGCTAGTTTATAAAGAAAATGTTATGAATTTTCATTATAGTCTGTTAGTTTTAATCTCTGGAGATATTACCGTGTCATTTTTATACAAAATGATTTTTCAAAATGTAGGATATTTTCCTTTTAAATACAAGACAATCTACCATATTATATTCTGCTAATAATATGATTTAGTACAACATAATGCCAGAATTCATTCATTCATTCATTCATTCATTCATTTTGGTTACTATGGGCTTGTTCTAATGACATTTTTTACATTTTCAGGGTGAAACAAAGATCTTAAAACTAAAGAATCTTCGACCTCAGGATTATGCTAATTATAGCTGCATTGCTTCAGTGAGGAACGTATGTAATATTCCTGATAAGATGGTTTCATTTAGACTTTCCAATAAAACAGGTAAGGGACTATCTCTGAAAGTTTTATGTTTATTATCTACAGCTAATGTTTAATGGCTCTTTAACTTTCTTATAGACCAAATGATTTCTATGATATTTGTAGGAACAAAACATTGTTTTCTTTCCCAGATAATTCTGTGATATCTGAAAAGCTTTTGGCAAATGGACACTGTAAAATTGAATATGTTTGTGCAGCATACACAATTATAATTCCTGATCATTGAATCAGGAATGTAACAAGCAAGTCTCTTTTACTGTATTTCAAGTCAAGAAAGCTAATTGGCAATTTTAAGTAGGTATTTTTAAGAAAATATTTTTGTAGGAAATGTCAAAACATTAGTAGGACTGAAACTTAAGTTAGCTTCTGTTTAGTAATATAGGTCTTAGAGTAAATGCAAACATTAAAAAGGAATTGCCAGATGAAAGAGTGAAGAGAGGTCGTATGGATGAGCTATCTTTTGTATGCTCGAGTATAAACAATCACCTTAACAAATTAGAATTCAACTGGTTTTGAGAAACTTTCAGTGCAATGACAGTAAATTTTTACTTTTAAGTAATTACATTAAGATAAAGAGTTATGATTACTTTTTTATTGTTGTTCAAGTACAATGTTCTCCATTTTTACCACCCGCACTACGCCTCCCACCCCACTCATCCCCAATTATGTTTTTCACTAACAAAATTCTTAAGCAATATGGGCCTTGGTAAGACTGTTTTCATGCCCTGATTCTGCCACTTATTAGCTTTTGGATCTTGTTGAGCAAGTGACTTCACCCTTCTTTACCTGTGTCCTCATAAACCCATAAAGTTGTAAGAAAGAATCAATGAGTTGATATTTATAAAGCATTTGGAACATACTTTGTTAGTTCTTCCAACACAGAGCTAGGCAGAGCTATTCAGCTCAAAAAGATTAAACCTGGAATTTTTTTTGAAAGATGAGAAAAAAACGGTATACTCATACATGGATTTATCAACATATGTTCCAATGTCAAATTTTAAAAGATTATTTATTTATTTATTTTAAAACTTTATTTATTTTTAGAGAGAGGAGAAGGGAAGGAGAAAAGAGAGGCAGAGAAACATCAATGTGTGGTTGCCTCTCATGTGCCTCCTAATGGGGACCTGACCCATAACCCAGGCATATGCCCTGACTGGGAATTGAACCCACAGCCCTTTGGTTCACAGTCCAGAGCTCAATCCACTAAGCCACACCAGCCAGGGTTATTTATTTATTTATTCATTCATTCATTCATTCATTCATTCATCAGAAACTTACTGGGTTTCCATTTTGAGTTAGCAATGATAACCACAGGGATATTAACTAAGATGTAAATTGTCTCAACTAGAGAAATGCTCTATTGAGCACCAGATAAAAATTTTTAGAAGAAAGCAAAAGAAGGATGTGAGAGATAAGATTAAACTTCATCAAGAAGGATGAGAAACACTTGATAGAAACTATGTAACAGGAAAAAATTACATGTCTTAAGTGGATCTAAGACATAAAAGTTAATAATCTCATTTTACTTGAAAAAGAATATAGGATATTAAGAAATAAAAATCAGTGATTAACATATAAGAATTGAGTGTGATTATATTGTTCTTTTGGCATGAGATATTTTGTGAATTATGTTAACTAATTTTGTATCATAAATAATTTTGTATACTCAATGGGTTGTTTTGAGAATGAACTAAGTCAATATAAACAAAAATTCTTTAAAGATTAACAGGTACAATAAACATATTTAATATTTTTAAGCTGTAGAAATGTATGGTTTTATTAAATCCCAATGTCCCACAGCTAATTAGGGGTGGAAATAGGAGTGATTTCAATGTTTGAAAAGTGATCTTAAGTAGGATTCTGACTAGCTATTCACTATTTCTGTAGAGCTGGAGAAAATGAACTTAAATCTCAGCCAGAGTGTTTTATCAGGAATAAGGACTTCTTAAAGCTGAAAGGAGAAGATTACCACAAGAGGTGATAGCCTTTTCAATGCCTGATGTTTTTTAAAGCAACTGACTTTATTTTTGAGATGATTTTTAACAACTGCTAGCTCATAAAACAGAGACTTGACTACCTGTGTTACGGAGAGTATAGGGGACCTCTCAGCCTTCTGCTTCATTCTTTATATTTCAGGGTGAAGTACTGTACATTTGAATCAGGCAAACAAAAGGACCTGTTATTCTCTTTCATAAATTATCTCACAAAAATTAGATTGATGTTTATTAGATGATGAGCATTAGGATGATGGTAAATAATTGGGTTTAAAAATATAAGCTAGTACCTTGTCTGACTCTTCAGTAACTGTAATCAGGCATGTCATTTGCCTGGTGCTTTACATATTCAAACCAGGTTTGCTTCAGCACTTTTCCCATCTGGCTGTGCTCAAAATTGGAATAGTTTGTGCATTTCAAATAGGTGAAATCATTGAGGTGGCTCTCAAAGTACACCAGGAATAATAAATTAAGCTTTCAGCATCGTCATGTAAACAAGTCTATAAACTGACAAAGAAGTGCATAGAGCCTAGTTCATTGCTTTTCTAACATTGGAAGAAACTCATGAGTCATCACGGCCATAAAGGATGTGAGAGTCAAATGCTCTTTATGGTTTTTATTCTTGTGAGTCTCTAAACCACATAGATAAAGTGCCCATGTTTTCAACTCTTGATATGCAGAATGTCAAGGAAAATGTGTAATTCATTGAGGGGGAGAAAAATCTGTTATAAATATTGTTTGATTATCTGCTAATATGTTTATGACAGTGCAGCTTTGGAAATAATTTTGTAATGGAGATCAAATCATTGAGCAAAATGTATTTTTGGTACAGACAGCATTTCATTTTAACATCTCTATAATCAAATAAACATTTTAATTGCAATAACTTTATTACCTGATACGTAAAATACTAAAGGATATAGTATATAAAAATGGAAACAATGTCTGTTCTGGATAGGGATTTCTAAAAGTTTTGCCTCCAAAAGATTAAAACACAGAGTACAATTTCCTTGACCCATCCCTGCTTGCTGATTAGACTTTCTGAGGAATGACCTGGTAATGGATATAGCTCAAACAAGCATAAAGTAAATGCTTTAGAACGCAAATGTTGTCTTTGTTGCCAGGCTGTTTTCTGTGAACCCATGCCATTTTGTGAATGAAACTTTCATTACTAAAAACTAAATTTTTAAGACTGCATAGAAGAGCAATATCTGAGTGTGGTTTTAAAGTCAGTGTCATCTAGAGATTTACCAATAATGTGTTTTCTTAACTTTCTTACTATGAATTGGCATCATAGTAGAGCTTTCATTTTATATCTACCATGGAGTATCTAATCATTTGTTGGCTTCTGTTGATTACTTGGCATGCCTTGAAAAATCTCCTGCCATAGAAATGCCATTATTTTTCACACCTAATCTAGCTGCCTCAGACATTATTATGAAAACTCATAGAATTTTATCATAAAGTATTTATCATAAACATTAAGCATGATTAGAATTTATTTCCTGTCATGCATACTCCATGACTACTTGACATAATGTGTCAGTCTCCAAAATTTGTTTGCTTGTTTTCCTATTCCCATTTGGAGGAAAGAGAATTATTAGCTCTTGATTGGTAAATTCTTAATATAGCGTATTTTCATAATTTGTTAAAATACATAACTTTAGACTATTAATAAATATATGTTTTAAATTATTGTAAACATGGTAATGTTGAATATAAACTATTTTAAATTTCTCAAATTATCTATGTTTTTAACATGAGGAGACAGGATTATGATAGAATAATTTAATCTATTTAAACATATTTAGAGTACTTATATATTGATGTCTCATGATTTCAAAAGCAAACAAGACTTAAGTATGTCACTTAATTAGAATGAAACATATTTTGTACTTGCTTGAGAGGATATGATAAAGAAATGGGACAGGTAGGGTTAGTTTTACTTAATTATATAGGGCCTTTGATCCATTCTGTACAAATTTAACATTTATAAAAATTAATGTGGACATTTATTTAAAAAAATGGTCATTACCTTTTGGATGGTCATACTTTTGGAACCAATCCACAAAAGTATTCCCAACTATAGAAACAGGGAAAACTTACACTCCTTCTTTTTATTCCTTTCTCTCCTTTCTTCTTTTTTTCTCTTCTTTTTTCCCTCCAATCTGTCTCAGTAAATTACCACGAACAATAATAGAGATTAAGGAAACTTTATGTTCTCTATATTGGATAGCTATTATCTGTGCTTATTATTTTAGATAACCCATAGGGAAGTTGTAAGAACTGCCTAGTAATTACTGTGAGCCTCAATTTTGTATGCTGTGTGCTACTCGTGGTTTAGAGGAATTTAATTAACTTATCGAAATGTTAGGAGAAATAAAATAATATTTCAGTTTTGGAATTTTAAAGGGATACCTGTGAATAATAAGAATAGTGTGGACATTGGCACTTCCTCTTGTGAAAAGAGTATGCCCATTGTCAGAGAGAGCTGGTTTCAGTGCAAAGGAAATGCAGTAGAAATTTTTGCTGTCATCTGCACCCAGGTAATAACCTCATACATTTTTCTTAGCCATATGGATATTTGAGCTCTTTTCAGCATCGGGGCAATCAGTAGCATCTTTTATTAGAACTAGATATTTTTTTTCACCAACAATCACTACTTTAAAGAAAGATTACGTTTTTGACAAATGCATAGTGCAAATATAATGGCTTCCTGTATGTCTTGGGCTGCCATAACAGAAGACAACAAACTGGATGGCTTGAACAATAAATTTTATTTTCTCAGAGTCTGCAGTTTGGAAGTCCAAGATTAAGGGGCTGTCAGGGTTGATTCACAGTGAGGCCTGTCTTTCCTGGTTTATAAACGACTTCCTTTCACTATGGCCTTTCCTCTGTGTTTCATGGAGGGAGAGACTGAGCAAGCTCTGGTCTTTCCTACCTCTCATAAGGATACCAGCTGTGTCAGATTAAAGTTCCACTTTAGGACCTCTTTTGCCTTACTTACTT